TTCTTTATGTTCCTCTTTGGCACCAGCAGAAAGGTTATAAACTGTGGGAAAGGAGTTGGCCGATTCTTGGGCTTTTAGAGGTCTCCTAAGAAGCCATGCAGGTTGGTTAGCATGTGGCTCAATTGCTTAAAATTGATTAGCGAATCCAATTTCTGGGGTCAGCTAACCTAGGATTTGGAATGCTTGGAGGATGACTGTGCTATCATCTATATGAAAATAATACATAAAAGTTTGTGGGGTTTTTTTTGTTTTTCCTTTTTGAGGAAGGGGTCCAAGATGTGTTTTACTAGGTTGTGAAATCTGGATGCTGAGAAGGGCTTGTTCCTGGGCCTAAGAGATAGAGGAACCAGCCTAATAAAACACTTGGGCAAGAGACTTCTGGGAAGCCTTGGAATGGAGATGGTTAATAACCGATAAACAAAGCTGGTGGCCAAGGAAACAAAAAGCTGCAAGACCTTGCAAGTAGACCAGCCTCTGTGGATGACAGAATGCCATGAGAATGGTGGCAGAGTATTTTCAGTGGCTGTTGTTTAGGAATGCCTTTCCCAGGTGGTATTGGGTCTTTAAGGGGAAAAAGAAAACTGTGGGCTTTAACCAGAGGACTTGGGTTTACTGAGCAGAGCAGTGGCAAGTGTCTCTCTTTAGACTGAGAGCAGGTAATATGGTGAGAATGGAGATGGAGTTTAAGAGGTACGGAGGGTCCTGTTGCACCTGCCCCAGCTCCTCTTGCCTTAAGTAAACCAGTTTATCCTGAGCTACGAAGCTAGGGTGGCGAAGCTGCGATTTGAACCCAGGCAGATTTGTCTCAACTCCACATGTCTCTATAACCAGTCAGAACACTGCTTCCAACTGATGTAGTAGGTGGGATGAACTCCTAAGAGGGGAGTGAGAAAGGTGGTGGCTCGCTCCACTGGAATTGTCTCACCCTGAAGAGCTATTAAATTTAGAAAGCTTTCCTACCTTATGCATGATGGCCTGTCAGTCCTTACTTGATTTGCTCAAATAGGGAGTAAATTCACAATGCAGCCTTCCAGTTGCTTGTGTTTGCAGAAAGTTCTCCTAGCTTCTCTTCTGATCATGTTTTGTCTCCTTACTGAGTCCTCTGCCTGTGGGTTCACTGATGCTTTTGGCTGCTTCGGGGTGTTTTAGATACGGTCTACCTAGAAAAGACCGTGAAGGACACTCATCCATATATTAACACTTTAGAGCAAGCAAGTACGGGGAGAGAGTCAGGGAGAGTGGGCGAGAATCTTAAGCAGGGCTTAAGCAGGGCTCCATGCCTAGTGTGGAGCCCAAAGTGGGTCTGGATCCCACAACTCTTGGGATCACCTGAGCCGGCATCAAGAGTTGGACGTTCAGCGGAGTCACCCAGGCGCCCGAGTTAACACTTCTGATGTAGTTGAAGCAACCTAGACTTAACCTGTTTGACAGATATGAATATTTTATGTCTTTCTTGTTCTAAAGGATTTCTAGACAGCTGTGGCTAGAAACTACTGGTTCTCATGCTGTTGGCACCTCTGTGGGTGTGGGATCTCCACCACAGGACCTATGGCCACTTTAACGGGCAGAGCCTCAGTTTGGGGCTCCTATGGAGTCTAGCCAGAACATTTGGGTAGATGTAGCAGTCTTAGTAGGGAAGTTCTAACCATGTCCACACTCTCCTAGGTGGTGAGTAAAAAACCTCCTTTACATGTCCTTGGGAGCAGAAAGCCGTCCTTCAAAAAGTGATGTGTAATAAAGACCCTGATAGAGCAAGGCACTTAGGAGGGCAGGGCTGGAACCTTACTGGAGCTTGGTCTGCTATGAAAAACCTAAGGGGGAGGCACTAAGCCTTTATTTTCCATGAAGACACCGTTCGTTTGATGGATTCTTTTCTGGAAGCAGGGCCAAAAGAGTGAGTGAAGTCACATCTGGGAGGTTTCCAAGTTTGTCCCAAGGTAGAGCTGCACTGAGTAAAGCCCTGGTCTAGTCTCATAAGCTTGTAAAGATGAGAGCTGCCGGAGACCCATCCTTGTTATCTTCCTCCTGTGCCCAGAGAGCTCACCTGCTGATTTAGCCCTTATAGCCCTGCTTTTCCTGCAGACATTTTAGGCCATCTAACAAACACAGCCCGAAGAACATGGCCAGGCCCATGAAGTGTAGGGCATGACTTTTTTTTTTAGTTTATTTTTGAGAGATCAAGAGAATGGCAACTGGGGGAGGGGCAGAGAGAGGGAGAGGATTCTAAGCAGGCTCCATACTATTAGTGCAGAGCCTGACACAGGGGCTCAGTCTCACAAACGGGGAGATCAGGACCTGACCTGAAATTAAGAGTCCAATGCTTAACTAAGTCACCCAGGTGCCCCAGGGCATGACCTTTGTAAGAGTGATGTCTGGCACCAGTATCAAGAAACTCTCACATGGCCCTATAGAATCCAAGTAATCTTTAAAAGGCCACTGTTTGTTAGGGGGAACCATGCATAAGCCTCGGTGCTGGATATGTGGCCAGGGCAGGATCCAGGCTACAAACTCTGAATGCCTCCTTCAGAATTCAGCCTGCAAGAGACCTCCTCTTGAATCATAGACAACTCGGCCTACCCACTTTCTCCAGGGAAATCCAATTAATGAAAGATAATGAACTAGTCCTAAATTTCTTTCCTTTAAAAACAAAACAAGGGGCGCCTGGGTGGCGCAGTCAGCTAAGCGTCCGACTTCAGCCAGGTCACGATCTCGCGGTCCGGGAGTTCGAGCCCCACGTTGGGCTCTGGGCTGATGGCTCAGAGCCTGGAGCCTGTTTCCGATTCTGTGTCTCCCTCTCTCTCTCTCTGCCCCTCCCCCGTTCATGCTCTCTCTCTCTGTCCCAAAAATAAATAAACGTTGAAAAAAAAAATAAAAACAAAACAAAACTGATACAGTTAAATGATTAGAGTGAGCAAACTCTCAAGAGCATTGGGACATAAAATCATCTCTGAAGCTTTACATAGTAAGAACAATAGGATGACAAGCCTGATTTTGAATAGTTTATTAAAGGAAAGGTGAAGCATCAGTTTCAAATTGTACAAAAGGAAAAAAACCTCATATTGCAAATGTACAATTTACAGAATTACTAGCAAAACCAATCAAGGAGACACTGAAAATACAAAAATTCGATTGACTTCAAACTGAACTGCAAACCCATTTGAGTAGATATTAAGCCTTTTTTTTTTCTTTTTTTTTCTTTTTTTTTGTTGCATGTAGTCTACAATTCTAAGTCAGCATCTGATTTCCACATGAAACTGTCAAGCAAAGGATCAATCTGTGCATGTGCCAAAGCACCTCCCAGCTTCCTCCCTGGCCAGAACCACAGGCAGGGGTGACGCTGGTGGACGGTCCAGTTATTCCTGCCCCTTCATGTCCAGTGAGGTCCACATTTCTGGAAGAAAGTGAAACCCCAACCCCTCAAACTGGAGCCCAGGAATTACTAAATTAGCAGATAAAATATTTTTGGTGACCAGGTTTTTTTTCAGAACTGTACAAATATTGAGAAAAATCTGTTTTGTGTTTACTAAAAGAATGAATAGAATAATCCATTTCCTTTCCCAACAAAAGATAATCAATTATTGGGTGCACAGATTAGTAAAAAAAAAAAAAAAATCTTTTCATTTTTGGTAAGAAGGGAAAGCCTCATGATTCCATTGCAGCTACTTTAAAAACCAGCCCAGAAACAGCTGTGGATGGATTGGTTTGGAATTGAGGCTTACTTTTAAAAATCAGAAAGAAACTAAGTGGGCTTTTTAAAACAATAGCAGCAAGTCATAAAAGTCTAAGCAGAATGTAACTCTAAACCATTGAAGGCTGTCCTGAAGATTCATAATTTCTTTCCCCCAAATAATTAATATGCACATTTAACACTGAAATGTAGCTGTATTTCAAGGTAAGCTTAGGAACTTCACCCTCTAAGCACAGACTTCTATGCAGCACATACTTCTATAATTGGTAAACTTAATTCACAAAATTAGCGCATAAGGTATTAAGTGCATGGGAAGTAGACACAGTTATGTTACACTTAAAATTACTTTTGAATGGCAAAGAAGTTCTTCATGATTATCTTTTTAAGAAAACGGAAGTTTATGTAACTTGAATTTGGCAGGGCATGAAATAAGTAGTAAAAACAGCAAACTGATAACTTGAGAACCATTTTTTTCTGAGAATACTTTATTTGCTGGTAGAAGTTGCTAAAAATGCACAGAACAAATACCAATAGAAAATGTACTGTATTTGAATCTCCCTATTCTATATAAAATGAATGGTGCACAGCATCTGTTGGAAAATGGCTGCGTGGACATTTCTTATTTTATGCCCCCTTATAAATAAAAATAAACCTTTTTATTCAAGAGTATATAAAATCTGGGAATCCATATCCACAGAGGGTGTGTGGTTTTTGGCAGAGATGCACTGTCAGAATTTCATCTTAGCTTGTCGATATTCTGCTCCTCCGCATTTCTGTATTCCACAAGGTCAACCAAATCCAGTGAGCTCCAAAACACTCTTCGGCAATTAGGATGAGCTGCTTACTCATAGGTTTAATAAAAATGGTTAGCTTTTAAAACATAAAAAGGCAAAATGTTAAAACGGTTTTTAAATTGTACAACAGGAAAATAAAGTTAAAAATATTTTTTTTTACTCAATGCTGAGTTTCATAAAACAGGTGTATAACAGTGTTTATCTTGACAGTTGTTTTAAAAATTTAAAATTTTTTCCTCCCTCCAGAAAAACACACACATCTGTATTGGGATAAGTCCAATATTAGGACACAAATGATTTTTCAGGTCAGTCTTTCTGAGGTGACATTCACCAACATTCCCTTGGGTAATTTACATGCTCCTCTTCTGTCACTGCAAAAAGGGATTGACCTCAATCATTTGATTAAAAAACAAATCAGATCACATCAAAAGTGTTTTTTCCCCCATACAAGCTATCACAGTATATAGGCCTCTAGCTCTAAATAATAGAGTTCCAGATTTGTAAATTTTCTTCAGACTTCAGAACATAGGCATTCCAAATCCCTAGAAAAATGAAAAACACAATTAATTTCATGCATACGCAAGACCTAGAAACCATAAATAAAAGTAATAATTTAACATTTACTGAATCGTCTTCTATGATAGCTGCAGAATCAAAGAAATCTGGCCTCAGCTCAGCTCTCTCTCGCCGATTTCTTGATGGGGGCTAGAAAAAGAAGCCAAAATGTTTTCCTGAGATATAGTAAGACAATGAACTGTGATAATAAGCAGCTAATATTTCTGATGGTATCACAGAATAGAGCTACTAAAGATATAATTTTGAAATGAAAAGAATGTGGCTTTTACATGGAGCCCACCTTAAAAAAACAGGATTTCAAATTACAATGAATAAGCTGAACAAGTAAATGCATGTAATTTGGGGGCCTACAAACATACAACATGCCTTTGAATCATAGAATGATTATAAAAATTGATCCCTAAATTCCCCAAAGCAGGTAGATGGAAAGCTACTGATGGGAGGGGAGAGACTAGAGGCATATGATCTCCTTTACATTTCTTAGAAAAATTTTTCATTATGGAACATTCAAAACCTGTAAAGAATGTTATAGGCTAAATTATGTCCCTCCCCCCGCCCCTGGCAAATTCATATATTGAAGAGGTACCCCCAGTACCTCAGAATGTGACTGTTATTTGGACAGAGAACCTATAGAGAGGCTATTAAGGTAAAATGAGGTCATATGGGTAGATTCTAATTTTTAAAAAAATTTATGGGCACCTGGGTGGTTCACTCAGTTAAGCATCTGATTTTGGTTCAGGTCCTGAGTTCACAGTTCGTGGATTCGAGCCCCGCTTTGGGCTCTCTGCTGACCACTCAGAGTCTGGAGCCTGCTTCGGATTCTGTGTCTCTCTCTGCCCCTCCCCTGCTCACACTCTGTCCTCTCTTTCTCAAAAATGAATAAAACAAAAAATTTTTAACTTTTAAGTTTATTTTACTTATTTTGAGAGAGATCATGGGTAGGGAGTCAGAGAGAGGGAGAGAGAATCCTACTCAGGCTCTGCATTGTCAGCACGGAGCCCGATGTGGGGGCTCAAACACACAAACTGTGACATCATGACCTGAGCTGAAATCAAAAGTCGGTTGCTCAACCAAATGAACCCCCCAGGCGCCCCAATTCTAATCTGATTCACATCCTTATAAGGAGACAGAGGAAAGATCACATGAAGATAAAGGGAGAAGATGGCCATTTACAAATCAAGGAAAGAAGCCTGAGAATGAAATAAATCTTGCTGACACCATGATCTCAGACTTCTAGCCTTCAGAGCTGTGAGAAAATTTCTATTGTTTAAGCCACCTAGTCAATGGCATTTGTTATAGCAGCCCTAAATACATAAAGTGGTATGATAAACTACCATGTACTCATCACCTAGCTTCATCAACTGTCAAATCTTTGACCAATCTGTTTCATTGAGTCTCCTCACGGTTTTTTTTCTTTTCTATGTCATTTCATCTATAACTACCTTCAATATGAATCTCTGATGGAAATTAAAAAAAAAAAAACATAACCACCATGCATTACTATTCCTGACAAAGTCAATTAATTTCTTAATATCACCTACACCTAGTCCATATTCAGCTTTCCTTGCTTCAAAGATGTTTTTTCCACACTGAACAAATATGGTCCATATTCTGTGTTTGGTTGCTGTGCTGGAACACACTCTATATATCATCAGACTCCAAGTTAGTTTAAGAGACCAGATGTACACTATACTGAAAGGCAGATCTAGTGAGAGCCCCTTCTCAAGAAGGTAAGGAACCAGTTTCCATTACTGCCAGAAATTTACAATCTGACTGCTTAGAAAGTAAGCTTGAGAAACACAGCTCATCCAAATGCCCTAATAAGTGTGACATTGGTCCTGCCTGCTGCTATTCTATGTTACCACCTCCACACCTCTCTCCTCGGGCTTCTGGAAACAAGAGCATCATCTTACACCGATGTCTTCACATATTTTAAAAGAAGAAAATGTACTGAGTTTCTTTACCAGATCAATAACCATGGTGTCTTCAAATTCTTCATTCATATCTTCTAACTGGCTCCGGGATGACATCATCACATCTTCAAAGATGGGCTCAGCATCTTCCTCCATTAGGCCCCGACTGATAAGGAAAAACCATCGTCAGAAGACTGTTCAGACTCATCGAATGTGGAGTCCTGGCTCTTATATTAGGTCTTATAATCAATGAAAAGCACATCTTCCAGTTAAAATCCATGGGCTGCACAAACTATGATCCTGAACTATTAAGATAATTAAGGATCATTCATTTGTTTCATTCAAGATTTCATCTCAACTCATCAAAAGGAAGTATAATTTAAATGCAATAACAACAAAAGAAGTTAACATTTATTTAGCTATGTGTCAATTTCCACAAAACTATGTGATTGGTAGTATTATCCCATGTTTACAAATGGAGAATCTGAGGCACAGAGGTTTCAGACTTTGCCCAATGCCACATAGCTGGCAAGTGGCAGCACTAGGATTTAAATGCTGAAAGCTTCAGAAGCCCACACCCTCCATTCCTATTCTATACTGCACAGGAGATCCTGAATTATGATCTTAACTCCTTTTCTAAGACCAAATGTCAAAGGAAACCAGTCATTCCACAAAATGACCAGCATCACATAGTCATTATGTTTTTGCAATACTTGATGTAACACTTACACGGCATGCCTTACTCCAGTTCTCACTTTCATGTAGTTCATTCCTGTTCTGTCCTTCCGATTTAAGTCTTCTAATTTCGGCTGGCCTAACCAAGAGATCTGCATCTGAGGACTAAGGGAATAGGAATACATTATTCATTTATGGCAGAAGATGAATTTCGCTCATCAGTCCCATGCTAAGAAAGCCACCGTTGGCTTGCCTAATCCCCGAGTATGGGGAGTTAGCTGGATTTACTTGAGTCAAGGGTGAGACAGACCATTACTGAAGGATCTACCTTTGCAGAAATGGCATTTAGTTGCTCAGAGATGCTTAAGTCTCTAAGAGAAGCTGGCTGTGGCCAGTTGTTAGCTGTAAAGGAAACCAAAGTATGTCACCCCAAAATACTGCTTCTGAGATAAAAGTTATTTTGAGCTGAAGGCAATTAAGAAGTGGTAAACACAGAAAAAGCTCCTTTTCTGCTTAAAGGCAGAATTCTTGTTTTATGGGAGACAGACTCTTATCAACTCAGAGATGGTACCAGAGCAATCTGCAAACAAACCTTCCTACTAGTTAAACTAACCCTTACCTTCCTAGTTGAGGAAAATGTAGACTACATAGTCTCAGTTAAACTATTCCTAGTACAAAACCCTTTGTCTTGTCAATTCTTCAGGCCTTCATTCTCTGCTGAAAGCTCCCCTGGACATGTAAAACACTCAATAAAATGTGTATCCTTTTCTGTTGATCTGTCCATTTAATTTTCAGACCCAGTTAGGGATCCTAAGAGGATTGGATAAAACCTTTCCCTCCCCTACAGGTGCTTAATTTATCAGCTTTGTTCCCCAAATCTCTGCCAAACAAGAGACTGCTTCTGAGACCTCTGTATCCAGCTACTGCCCTGGAACAAGTGTTCCTGCTTGGACAGCCAGTCCCCTAAGGGACAGAAAGGATGCTGGCCTTGTGGGAAGAGCTCTTCAGAGTTGGACAAGGAAAGGTATTAACACATTTTTTTCTCAGTCCTTCTGAAAAAATTTGGAGTCAGGTGCATGCTGGGTCAAATTTTCACCTGTCCTCTATACTTACTGGTACATGGACACTTGCATAAACATGCCTCCTGGGAATTTTACAGGATGTAAACCTTAATGATTTTTAGTAGATAACATCTGTCACATGAGCAGCTGTCTTTATATCATATAGTGTTACCACCTTGATTAAACCTATAAACAAACCTACAGCAGGGAAAGGAAAGTAGACCACAGAGGGGAGGAATTGACAAGTGGTAAAGTCAGGGAAGTAAGACAGGCTGCTCAAATAAGGAAGAATCCACCCTCTAAGAAGCAGGGTGAGAATGCTGGTCATAAGGCAAACTACCCTCTAAGAATGCTGTTACGCAGTGGCTGTCTGACAATGATTATCCTTTTAGCTTTGAAGAAAGGTAGATCCTCTGAGCAAAGAGGCTTTCTGAAAACCCAGGATCTGAAAAATTCTAACATTTCCTCTTTCCATTTCCAACCTGCTAAATTTGTTGATTTTAACTGAGAATTCTCTTTTCCATCAGAGTAAATCACAGCATTTTACCCCAATGAGTAGAAACATAAGAAACTAGAAGAATTACATAGTTGGATAGAAAACAACAAAGAAAAAGTTCTTTTATAGCAAAAGTCATACCATTATCTTGCCTTTTCCAAAATTTTTGGGGCCATGGTACTAGAAAACATACTAATTACTACTAGCATGGAAAAAGGTAAGACTTTGATTCTCTCTTAGAGAAAAGGCAACTGTTCTCAGAATTTATCAAATATCCTGACAAATACCTTAATCCCTAACAGTTTAAGTTTAAAATATAAACTTGACCAAGACAAAATGCTATTAATGAATGAAAAAGGAATAGTCTATTTGTTCAGACTAGTACAACCTTAGCAGAGACTCTTATAGGCTTTCTTTCCAAGGAAGTAACTTGCATGTCTTCTTTGCAAGTCCCTGAGAAAAAACAGACCTGCCCAATGATAATCTGTAAACTCCAACTGAAATCAGCACTTAGTGATGCACCAAGGTTTAAAGGTCTTTGGGCTTTGAGTAACTGATATCCACAACTGTTGGCAGACTTATGTATCTTCTAATACAAATTATTTAGCCTCTGCTTGTGGTTTTTCCTCATGAACTGACCAATAACATGCTTTAAGAAGGTTTTTCTTTTTTTAACAATTAAAGGTTTTATACCAAGAAAATAAATTTTTACTACTTACTTGTGTAAAAAGTCAGGTTCAGAACCATGTTCAGACTCAGGTTCCTGAATCTGTTCTCCCACGGGCCTACTATTCTCCCGCAGTACAGTGGAAGTGAGCTGTGGTGCTGGCAGGGGCCCAGGAGTCTGAATCATGGTGTCAGTCCTGTTTAGCCATGTATTATCCAGACTTTCATCTGTAAAATTCCAGTTAGAGTCACAACATATCATTAGTGGAATGAACTCTGGTAGAAGTTCTAGAACAGACTAGAAGAGCGTGGCTTCTGGGTTAAACTGTCTAGTTTGAATTCCAGTTATACCACTCGCCTGTGTAACTTTCTGTAAGTTACTAAACTTCCAAAACTCCGTTTTCTTATATATTCTTACATTATCCTCTCTTCTGAATCCCTCCATCTATAAGGATTAATTCAACCACAGGAAGGGAAGAATGGGGCCAGCCAGAGATCCCTCTAACCTTGCTTTACTCAAGCAATAAAGGGCCTATTTGCTGGGTCTTAGAGGGGCCCCAGGTAGCAGCACTTAAAGTCTGGTGGGCCTTTACTGACAAATCAGCAAACCCCACTGCACAACTGGGATATTGGAGAAATAACTTTTTTCTAGGCAATTCAATATGGGGATGGGTTAAGAGGCTCACTGTTTTCATGCTTCTAAGTTCTACCTCTTTAGGGAAGCCCTCCTCATTCATCCTACCCAGCCCCCACTTCCCATTCTCCTTTAACTTCTAGAGGAAATAGAATCATTCCTACTTACTAAGGATTTAATTACACACTGGCCTGTGTTGGCAGGTCATCTGTCAACTGTATAGGTTATCTCTTTAATTAAAATTAAATTTTGTCAAGGGACCAGGAAGTGTTTCTTCCTTTTTCTGAAGATCATTCATGAAGATCTGAACAGATTAAAGCATTATTTGCATATGTAAACTATAGCCTGATATAATGTTACATAATTATAAAGTTTCTACTACAAACATTCTAAGTTATTTTCCTAATATGGGAAGACTTAAAAGTATTACTGCTATGCTTTCCCTTCTGAAGAATTAAAAAAAAATTTCAATCACAAAGTACACAGTATGAATCTTACTGTTTTTCTTCCTCCATTAAGTCTCAGACATGTGTGCATGTTAGGTTCTGTATTTGCTATCAAGCATCCCACCTCTCAGTGTTTCAACAATTGTCAGACATATGTATATGTTCTGGATCAGCTTCTCAGTTCCTGAAAATACTTACCTATTGTCTTGTTAATGTCATTCCAGTGATCTGAAACTCACTATTGAATCTTTTCTTTAATCAGCAAAAAGAGGTTTCATCTTCTTTTATTCATACCACTTTTGTTTCAACATTTAATTCCTAACTTTTATCTTCTGCTGCACTTAAAATTTTGTAAAAATGGTACCACTTAGGTTCTTAACCTGGTAAACCCATGTTTCAGCTCTACTACATACCATATTTTACAGAAAATCTTTCCTGATTCATTAAGAGTTCGATCACTCCCTGTATGTACCCAGAAAATCTTTTTGGCCCATCAGAGCACTTCCCTTGCTGAATTAAAATTGCCTGCTTCTGTCTTCCCATCTGTACTATGAGCATTTTTTAAAGTAAGTTTCATGCCTAGCACAGAGCCCAAAATGGGGCTTGAACTCATGACCCTGAGATCAACAGTTAGATGTTTGACTGAGGTGCCCATGCACCCCTGAGCATTTTTATTAATACTTAATCTCCAGCATTTTGCAGGTCTTTGAAAGGTGCTTGGTAAAGACTTGATGAATGAATGACTAACTTCAGGAAGAACTCACTCTTCTTGAGGAGATCCTGCTAACCCCTAAGGGTTCCTCAATGAAAACACTTCTTACAAGGCTTTCTCTCATCTTTATTCCAAACAGATGAAACTGCTGCCTAAGGATTCTGGGCACATGACCTATGTTAGTCGCTTGGTAAATTTCAAACTGACATACAGCAAGTTTTCTTTTTTTCAGTCATTATTTAGAGAGAAGTTTAGGATTCTACACTACAGAGAGGGTTTAGTATTTTCATTCTCTGAACCAAAAGATTTTAAATCCCAAAGACAAAACTTGACACAAAATCTTTAACATTAATTCTGTAAATATTTTTTTCTTTTTTAATTTATATCCAAGTTAGTTAGCATATAGTGCAATAAT